TATATATATATATGCGCGCGCGTGTGTGTGTGTGTGTGTGTGTGTACAGGGAGAAAACAATACACAGTAAAAACATTTTTTATTTGTGTTGGGAATGATCCTCAAGTTCTCTTGTTAAAATTTTATGTTGAATTTTTAACGTATTTGAATTAATTTGATATAATGTAATTATATTATTTAAATATTTTGTGTGCAATTAATGTTTAATATTTCTTATTGATTCACATTGTGTCAAAATTTACAAACAATTTATGAATAAGTATTCAAATAATAAAAATATAATATGTTGTAAATCGGTATCGTCGCGAGAATCCTGAAATAATAAATAATCCATGTTGTATAGGATGAAACGAGGATCTTTCGCGAGGAAAATTTGCCAACTGTTTGTGAAAGTTGAAATATAATATGTTTAAAACGTAAATTTTAAGATAAATAGATAAAGTGCGTGTTGATTTAACAAATAAATATGTATAATTACATTTAAAAAATATCCTACGGTGCTTACAAATTGTGTATTATTTTTTGTTATTTTTATGTAATATTTGTTATTTTCTAACATATTTATCTTAACACAAAAATTTGAATAGACATGTGAAATGTGGTAAATTTAACACAAATTTTTCAACTGTACTCTCACAGGATATTGATAAAATCGTTCGTAGCCAAACTTTATATATTACAAATGATCAAAGCCAGCTTCGATTGAAGATCAATTTTTCCATAAGCGTATAATTTTTAAAATTTGAGCATGAAGTACTCATATCATAATACAGACGCGATACATAATATTTCATGATAGCGACCGCAGATTAATTATTCCCAGATACTTCCACAAACACGATAACGTTGCGTAAATGGGAGATCGATGGTGTACGAGAGACGGCGAACAGCACGAGTGCAGTCAGCGTACACGGTGCAACATACATACATACATACGTGTTGCCAGTCGGCGGCCGTGGTGCAGAGAACAACACCGATCGATTTTCGCCCCGGTATAGAGAATTTAATCCACACCGGTACGGCCATTGTGTGTATGCAAAATCCGCGCAACACTCGCCGGACGTAGAGTGACGAATCACGAATCTACGTGTGTCATATTGTACATTTTTTCCAGCCATCTAGCCTTTTTTCTCATCTCCTTTTTTCGGCACTCGACGAACAGAAATATCACTTGAACGTGCGATTCGCGTTACGAGTATTTTACTCTCGCATCATGCACTCGACGTCGCTCTTTTCGTAACAGTTCCTGTTTCTTTATACGTATGTATCTTCTATCAATTGTTCAATGAAATTGGACACATGTATACTCTCTTCATTAACGATTGCATGAACAATGATACATAGTTTAATTATGGCTATTCGCATTTATTCTTTTGAAAGAAAAATTTATTCAACATTTATTTAAAGAAAAAATTTTTATCTCCTTATTACAATAATAAAGTTAAATTATGATTTTGGATGAATTTTTAATATTTGCGACGTATATTTATACCGATATTGATTGATATATTTTATTATTAACAAGATGATATTTGTTGTTTTTCATAGCGGCACCTGCTCATGGCCAAGATGGTGATCTCTATTTTTCGGTGAGCCCCGCGGAACACTCGGTTGTCGAAGGACTTCCAGTTCGTTTGAGATGCGAGGCTCAACCGAGCTCGCATGTTAAATATTCGTGGAAAATAGACGGACAGCCCCTCGCTCCCAGTCCGCGAAGGCATCAAGTCGAGGGTGATCTTTATATCACTAGGGTCAATCGAATCTTGGACAGTGGGAAGTTCGTTTGCGTGGCCACACACGAGGAAACCGGCTATTCGATCGAGAGCTCACCCGCCAAGATCGACGTTCAATGTAAGTCTATCATTCGTATGAAAGAGCAATTTTGTCGAAGAATCTAAAAATTTGACTTGATAATAATTGGCTAGATACAAATAATTTTATTGAACTATTAAAATAATTTTGTAGAAATCTTAAACGTGATGAGCAATGCTACACAATGTTTTGATATTCCAGCAACTAATTTTATCGTCCTACCTTAATTGTTTTGATGGTCCAGCAAAATTATTTTTCAGATCTGTATCTAGCTAAATTTTTAGCTAGATTCTGCAAAATTGTTCTTTCAGTGTATTAAATATATCAGTGCATGTTTGTGATTTATTATATAATATATTATTTGCTTTTAATTTTCATTATTCTTATACATATTTTGATTCGCGTTTTAAATATTTCGTTTTATATATTATTAACATCATAGTGCACAACAGGGATTTTAAATTTGATATACATTACTCTTCTATTATCATTAATTTTCATATATTTGAATACACTAATTTATATACGTAACTTATATTTACAAAGAGTATTTTAAAATAAATATTTATTTACGTAAAATTGTAACATATTCCATTGCCTGAAATTTGAAATATTATATATATATACAAGGTTTAACGGTACTAGTTTTGAATAATTGTTGTAACAGGAAAAGGTACGAATTAATTACAGTTTATCTCGTCATGAAAAAAAATGTGCAAATATATATATATATATATATATAT